TGAGCTAACTACAGGCCACCAAACGCCCTTAAGACTTTCTGTTCACACCTATGGAAAACAAGCCTTGGTTCCACCAGCTTCCTCAAAACCAAGGACTAGAGCTATTGATTTCACAGCTTCCAGCGTCTCTCTGTACAGTGCTCTTATATCACAATTACTTTTCCAATGGGCAATTGATCTTGCTATCCACAGCTGCCAGATAACAGTTTACAGTTCACCTAATTTTAAGTTAAACAGGTTTACTAATGCCTATCACAACCAGAACTGATGGGCAGAGCCTATTTCTCTGGCATGTACCAGATGGACAGATTTTTTAGGATGCTAACAGGAGCAAATTCTTCCTCTGTCAAAGCAGTGACTGGGGGATGGCTTTCCCATCCTCACACACTTTTTCTACCTCCTTTCTTCCAAAGGAAAAAGAAAAAACACAGAATTCTCCAAACATATCATTAAAGAAAAAGGGTATGCTTGACAATCAATGATCAAACCAGGACATTTAGTTTGCCAGCCTTCTTCTTTAAGCCTCATTGGAGTTGGGCTCAAAGCTGCAGCTCCCAGTGCCTTTCACTTGTTCTGGATTTAGACTGTGTCTGGAAGAAGACACCGTAATGATGTGAATCAGTCAAAGGCATGGGACAATAGAGTAGAGCATAGAAAGTGTGTGCCCTGGTGTCATAAATGGAGGTTTATGGACTTTTCTCCCTGGCCATACCTTGTTGGCAGGTGGCTCCTCCCCAGCCTGGGGTGCAGGCACATGTCCCCGTTACATGATCACAGATTGCTCCGTTGTGACAGTTGCAGGTGTGAGCACAGCCCTGCCCAAACCTGTCCCCCTGGCACGCTGCAATGAGAGGAGTCCCCAATCAGTGAGCATCCAAGGAGGCATCGCACAACAAACCCAGTGCCAGTTGCAAATTGCCTTCTGTCAACATGCCTTTCACAACTTAATGGTGCATAAGTCCGTGCATTAACCACCCCTGACACTAAATAATGTGCCTTAAAAATATGTATCATAGCACATTCTGAGGAGACTTCCACAAAAGAGTAGGATTGCTGGGGTGATGGATCAGCTGTCATCCCCCTGCCCTGCAGAATTCCTTTGTGCTGAACTAATGGTCCAGCAGCACCACCGGCCTGACAGCCTGGGTATTTATTTGCATCCTGGTAAGAGACCTGACAACTTCATTGTTTTCATTGTTCATTTTTCACAGTTGGATGCACCAGCTCACCCAGAGCCTCATTCTTTGGTCAGAGAGGAGTGATATTTCCAACACGTTCAGTTAAGCAGCTGGCTCCCAGGTGAAAGTTTAATAAAACCATCTCGCTGCAGTGCTGCCACCCATGAAGAATGGCAGTGTTAAAATTTCTCTGGTCTCCATTGCTCTGAAGGTTTGGATATATGGTGGAAAACAGGCAATCCTGCTGTTCTGGTTTCTTGGAACATCCCCCACAGCGTGCAGAGAGAGTTGGTGAATTTGGAGAGCCTCACTGCACGGCTGTGTCTGCATCAAGCAGCTCCTACTCACATGCATGGAGCCGTCAGAACCTCTCCTCCCTGCAGCCCTGCTGGCACGTGCTGTAGGGACAAGAACAGCTCAGATCCCCGAGCCAGAAAAGTGTCCTGCACTCCCTGAATAGGACATCTCCCAGGATCACACCCAAACTATCTCTTTCCACCAGAACCTCTGTGTTTCTGAGGATGCCAGCTGGCGAAGCATGATGGAGTGCTGCAGGAGGAAATGTCCCTGGGGACAGGATGGAGGAGTGAAATCATCTTGACTGTGAGAGCATGTTTGGTTGACAGTATCTGACCCATTCACAGCCCTTCTCTTCCCATTTGGAGACTTCCAGCTTCCAGACATGGTTCTCACAGACACCATTTCTCCCAAGGCTTCCCAACAATTCATTTTTTTTCACATACCTGGAACCCATCCATGTTAAAACCACAAGGAAGTGCAGGAGCGCAGTCCCATCACAGTCAAAGATTGTTCTGCAAATGCTGCCTGATTGCCAAGTTCTAGTTGATGGGTTCAGCCCATCTTACAGAGCTTTGGCTCAGTTTTGGGAGCAGAACTAAACATTTCCACAATACAGACCAGAACTATATCACAACCAAGCCAAAGGAAAAACCAGCTCATAACCATGTCCCCTGACTGGTTACTAGTGGTTTGAGTGAGGTTTTTGGAGCATGTGTGCTAAGCTCTTGTTATACTTACTATGAAGACAAAAGAGTTTTCTAGTGAAAACTGTAGTAAGAAAGCAGAAATTTCTGGAGGAGAAAACTTTAAGTATTCTACTGGGTGCAAACAAACTTCTTTTAGCTTCTCTCTAGGACAATCTTAGTTATCAAACCACTTTTCTGTAGAATAAGATAAGTGATATGTTGCAGTTACTTTCACACAGTTCCTCAATTGAGTGTACGAACATCCCTGGGGCTTTTCCTCCTCTCTTAATGATGAGTGCAAAGGAAAGCATCAGCAAGGCTTAAATTATTACATTTCTTCCTGCTTCAACATTTTCCTTTCAGTGCCTTTCCTCCGTGAAAGGAGAAATTATTCATTCAAAGTCTTTAAAATCTGCTTTTACATGCAGAGAGAGGAACACATGAAACTGGAAGCCAAAACATTCAGTCTGGAAGTCAACATCTATCAAAAGCGTAGGGGAGCATGGGGAAAAAGATGTGCACTAAGGCTCAATGGGGTGCCCAGAAGATTGGATTTCATACAGCTTCCGTGGATTATGCTTCCCAAAATGTTGTTAAAATATCAGGAAATTTGCAAAGTCAAGTGTTCACATACTGTGAAATGTCACAGCTCTGGTTATCAGTGCCTCTGAGCAGAGGCTCTTGGAAGAACCAATCTTTCTGAACTCTTTATCTGTAAAACCAATGTGGTCTCTGTTTACTATAAGGGAAACTGCTTGTGAAGGTCCTGGGGAGCCATGGCTGCTTCAGAAAGAGGCATTTATGTACAAAAAGAAGGGCAAAATACCTTTGCTGAGTGTCCATACATAATGTGACACCATTTTGTTATTATTTCTCCTCTTTTTGGAGGTCACAAAATTTGGATGAGTTTGTATGCAGAAGGGAAGATTACATCTCTGGCACAAAAAGATGCCAAGTGTCAAGTCATCACTGCTATATCTTTGTGGCATCATGATACTCAACAAAGTAAAGCTGAAATGTTCTCAAACATTGGTAATGTATCTAGAATACTTTCTTGGATTCCTAAAATATCTTAGGTGGACATTCACGAAAAAATACAATTGCCAAACACATCTGCAAGAGGAGGGAGAGCTTGCTTGGCAGATTTCATCCTAAATTATTATAAATCATTTATAAGCAACTGCAAAACATGGTCTTGTAATGGAAAGTGTCGGGCAGCTTTAACAAAAGGCATTACTGTCCATATCTCCTGTAATTAGATACAGTGTATAAAACTCACTGCATGGCCACCTTAAGATCAATTCAAATCCCATATGTCAAAATTATTCCTCAGTATCCTCCAGCACATTGCCTGCAATCTGATTACTTGAAAACAAATGCTGATCTCCCAGCTGCCAGAGCTGGCAAGCCCCAGGACAGAGTAGGGTGAATATTAACACCAGGCAGGGACAGGGAGGGGTGCACGACCAGATGATCTGAAAAGGGGCACTGCCATCTATTTTAGTAATAACTGCTGTAGTGTTAGGTGCTACCAGATAGCAGTAAAGTCAGAATGGAGATGCACCATCCAGCCAAGGAAAGAGCAGGATGCCATACCACACTGCTGGCTGACCTTGCTCTTTTACTTATAGGCAGAAGAGACCTTGTAGGATTTGCAATCTTAAACCAAAGGAGAAAGAAATTAGCTGGCACAGGGCTTTAACAACTGCAGTGCAAGTGGATGGATAGGGGCCACAAGGCCGCTGACAAAGAGATGTATTTCCTAAGTGAATTTAATGAAGTATGAGAGGAGAAAGCTTCCCAACTCTAGGACAGCCCAAAGAGCAGGGAAGGGCCAAAGGGACAGACTGCTGGACCAAAAGGGCCAGGAATCATATGGGAGAAATCCTTTCGGGGGACATGTTGGGTGGTGGAGGGCAAATGAGGGAAAGATGCCAGGAGCAAATGCAGCCCTCAATTAGGGCTGGATATATTGCAGTGGAAAATCAGACTGCTTCAATGCAAGTATCATTTCTCTCTGTTTTCTAAGTTAAACATATTTTCTATTGCAGAAGTCTGCAGCCTATGGATTAAAGAAATCTTGGAAGTAAGCATTTACTATCAGCAAAATTTGGGTTCGTGTACACTGCTGCTTCAGACAGCAGTTCTACAGCACAGTGCTCAGAAAGCAGTTGTGTTTTCAAAAGGAAGTATAGACCATGGCATCACCCTGACGTGAGACTAGGAAATTAATTGAGCAGTTAACACCTGAAAACACTTGTAATGCCATGTAGCTAAAGAAAATAGTACCATTTCCTATGAAATTTGGTGACCAATTTCTCAGAAGAGCCAATTTTATATGGTATACACACAGACATACAGAAGTCTTATCAATCCCAATACTGTGGGATGATCTGCACGTATGAAAACCCAAGAAACTGATATTTAAAAAAAATAATAACAACTTTTCTAGGAATTACTTCTATAATTACTTTCTCCTGGCTATATAATGCAACAGTCCCAGCTCTCATTTCTCCACACTGTACATTTGTAATGTGCCACATTATAATCGAAAGCTACCTGAGCAACACAGACACAACACTTCGTCTCCTTATACTTCTCAAAATGTAAAGCTGAGATCCAGTCAGATAACAGCACTGCTATTCAATAAACGATGCCTAAAATACTTGAAAAAGTCCCAACATCAGCTAAAAACAAGAAAAATAAGTGGACTGTTTGCACCACTGCTAATTGTTTCATTTTTTTGCTACTGTTGGGCAGGAAGATGACCATCTAATGTGTGTACCACCCTGTAGCCCCCAGCCCCACACCCAGCAGAGCCCAGCTGTCACTGTACTTAACGCTGCTCGCAGGTCTCGCCCCTCCAGCCCGGGAGGCAGCGGCACGTCCCCAGGACATGGTCACAGCCTGCAGCGTTCTTGCAGTTGCACACCTGGTGGCAGTCAAGCCCAAAAAATCCTTCTGGGCAAGCTGAAATTGCAAAACAACCTTTTTTTTTTTTAGCATTTCAGCGAATGCTGAAATATTTTTTTCCCCCTCTCTATCTCTGAGATCTGAAAACATTATCACAGAATCATAGAATGGCTTGGGTTGGAAGGGACCTCAGGGATCATCAAACTCCAACCTCCAGTCACTGACAGGGCCACCAACCTCCCCATTTAATACTAGACCAGGCTGCCCAGAGCCCCATCCAACCTGGCCTTGAACACCTCCAGGGATGGACGGGGCATCCACAGCCTCTCTGGGCAGCTGTTCCAGCACCTCACCACTCTCTTGGTAAAGAACTTCCCCCTGATCATCCAACCTAAATCTTCCCTCCTTCAATTTAAAACCATTACCCCTTGTCCTGCTATTATCTTTCAAAGAGTTGATTTACCTCCTGTTCATGGGCTTCCTTTAGCTACTGGAAACATTGCCGTCTCCTAAGACTTCAAAGTTAGGAGGCTGCAAAATTGTCACATTCAATGTGATGATGGAAAAGCCTTCCCAGACCTGGAATGAAGCACCAGCAGTTTGCTGGGAGCACGAGGCAACTTAGCAGCTCCAGTCTGCATCTCTGCATCCTCACACAGGCTTGGCCCATGTGGGTGGATTGTCAAGAGCACAGCAAAAAGCACATCCCTGCCAAAAGGAAGCCAAGCCACTAAAAACAGAAGTGCTACAGCTCCTGGGAGAAGTGCTGGAAAGCTGTAGCAAGGGCAAGCCACCCACACGTTTTCCTCTGCCTTCACTTTTTTGGAACCAACCTAACTGTTCTAGCCGTAATTTTCTATGTGAAAAGGTAAAACAGATCAGTGCAGAGCAAACACTCAGCCTGCCTGAAAGAAAACGTGGGAAACGGGGTCTGGCGGCAACTGAAGGTCACGAGCAACAGGCACAAAATTCTACTTTCACCTCTACAGTCTTCCAACAATTTAAAAAGCTATGTCCAATCTGATTTGGAAACTGGAATTCGGTTGTTTTTTTATTTTCTCTCCCAATTGTATCACCCAGGTTTCCCCCTGTTCCTCACGCCTACTTTGCAGAAGGATATTTAGCCAGTTTGTCCTCCTTTTGATTCCTGTCGAAATGAACAGAACACCACACAGACAACAGCATTGCTTTTTCAGTATTGTCACAGTCCTGCAGAAACCAGTGCTTTTGATGTATCCACAACTAATATTTCTCACGTAGTATGACTTAATTTCTAACTAAACAGACCCAAACCAGGTGATTTGGCTTGTCAGCTCCTGATGTCATACCTATGACAACATAACAAAGGAGCTACAGGATGTGCACTGTCTTGCTTGGGAATGACAGCCCTGTATTCATGCATTACACAGAATTTCTGTGTTCTAGAGCAAAAAAAACAACAGAACAAAAGAAAAATTTATGAAAATAGGGTTAAAATAAAAAGTGCGACTTTTAAAAGGGTCACAATGTAGGTACCATGAATTATGAGACACGTTCGGTAACAGAGCTTTGGAAAGAATATTCGTTTCATAGAATAACCCCTGGTAAGAATAGGATGGAAACACTAAGCCCCATGTTGCTATGTGAGCAGGGAGGCTGTGCAGCACTTTCCCATCAGAGGGCAGTAGGGTCCTGCGAGTGCTGCCATTTCCCTCTAATGCTACCATCATAAATGAGCTGATAAGGTTTTTGGAATAAAATAACTGTGGGTTTGATGCAATGATCATCACTTATTAAACTTTCAATCATTAAGAAACAATTTTTTGAATGTCTGACTATGTGCTATTCCTGCTGCACCCAAAGCTGTATATTTTTATGATCTGCACAAGGACACAACACTTCAGATGATGCCACGAACTGGCTCACAACAACGTCCCTAAGAAATCTATCCAGTCCATTCCAACTCTAGCAAATTATCACAGGAGATGACCTGTCAGATTTGTTAAGCTGAAAGGTTGGTTGTTCTTAAAGAGTTCCCTTGGAAGATCCACCCACAGATGCATGGTATTCAATGTACAAAAGGATGGGGAGCAGTGCAGGCACATCACCTTTCTCACAGAAGGTCCCAGTCCATCCAGCACTGCACGTGCAGGCTCCGCTCACATGGTCACATGCAGCCCCATTCTGGCACTGGCAGCTGTGCTTGCAGCTGGGACCAAAGCTTCCTTCAGGACATCCTGCAGCGAGGAATCCAAACCAGATACGGGGTGAATGATGAAGCAGAGAGAAATTTTTAGACAAACAAATTCTTACTGCTTGCAAAAGAGGATTCGAGGTGTTAAGGTAATGCCTTACATCTGATATCATTAAGTGCTCTCCTGGGGCTTGTTTATTAAAACTCTGCTGTTTAGGAAAATGTCAGGGTGTTAGAAGACTGAATTCTGCTCAGGAAAAAATATATTGATTGTGAGAGCAGCAAAGCCTGCAACTCCACTCTTTCTGCTTGATGCTCTAGCACTGCTAACATGCCCATGTCCTCCGGGACACCTATTGCCAGGAGGGGAAGGCTCCCATCCCCACTGCCTCCTTGTGAGTCATATCCTCTGTTTTCCTGCAAATCCTCACTCCCTAGAAAGCTGGAGAAAATATGGAACATGATGGACTCCTGCAGACAGCTGCATAATTCACTCTCGGGCTCTGCTTTAAAACACATCACATTCATGGGACAGCCTACACGTTACATCTGTGGGACAGATTAATGGTTACATCTCCACAGCAGTTCATGTTCAGAGTTTGAAAAGATTTGCATGCTGCTCTCTATCTGAAGGAAAAGGCAGCACTTGAGAATGAAAATAACTTCTTCCAGGGTTATAGGAAAATTAGTCAAGAACAGGGTCAGTCGCCTAATTGACATTAGATATTTTGGACAAGCTGAAATGTAGAGATGCCTAGGCATCATATACATATAATTAAAGTGGAACAAAACACAGACTGAAGAAAACAGCAAATCTAAAGAGGGAACATCAGGGGTAGCCAAAAGCTTTGTCAGAAGCAATGGCTTCCCTGCTTCCTCTGTCAGAGAAGATGAAGACCAGCTCTTTGTCTGCTTCCTATCTGCAGAGATGGCATTTTTAGAGAGGTCAAGAGAGAAGGACAAGTGGAGTTGGCAGCTACGGCCTTCCCATAGCTGTCCTTTCACTCCCTGTGGGCCAACAGCAATAAGAGCCCTAAGATAGTCTTTTGAGGGTTTTTGCCTTTGGGTCACCGCTCCAGATTAATTGTTCTGACATTTCTGTGCGACACCAGCAGATAATTCTGCCTGCACTACTGAGATTCTGGCAGCTGGTTCTGTGCTACTGTAAGACTGTTTAATAGATAAAATCTTCATTTTCTTCAATAGCAACAATAACAACAATAACAAAATAGCTTAACTGTGCAACTTACTGCCACGAGACGAGTGGATACCAAATGTTCGCATGGAATCAAAAAAGGGAATAGGCACATTAGTTGGAAGAAAATACCAAACTGTATTAAATATAGACACATTGCTTCTGTTTTAAGAAACTTCCAAATGACAAATTGCTGAAGCCTGGGAAAACGTATCAGAAATCCTCTATATGACTGTTTTTATCCTCTCCGGGCATCTGCTATTGACCCCTGCTGGAGATGGATTGGTGGAGATCCTGGGTCGCTGGTAAGGCCATGGGACATTCTTGTTGTTAATTACTGGAGGATCCTAAATCTTCTTGATCCTGCATCTGTTATGTCCACACGAAACATTTCTCAATGCCTGGTCTTAAAGAGCATTTATGAAGATATGCATACCTACAACTGGATAAATATAATCAATATGGAAAACCTTACACTACACACCAAACATACATCAAATCTTATTACTCACATTAAATCCTAAGATTCAAAACAGCCATTTAGGCCTGAAAATAATTTGTCTGGGATCCAAATTAGTGACAGCATCGGACCCTGCTGAAACCCAGCAGGCGGCTGCAAGGAGGACAAATTCCTGCTCCTTGCTTTTCCAAATTCCCTTTGCTGACAAAAGGGAGACTCACTCTGCTCGCAGTGCTCCCCGGTGAATCCTGGCTCACAGAAGCAGGACCCGGTGACAGGATCGCAGCTCCCATCGCTGTTATTGCAGGCACAGGAGTTTTCGCAGCGCTGTCCCCAGTGGCCGCTATTGCAGGCTGCAATGCAAAGCAGTGTTCATGTTGAGAACGAGCTCTGAGCTCGGCCGAGGGATGATTTCACTCATAAATAAGAGAACAGAAAGGATGCAAAATAAGCACAGAGACGTTCGTAGGGATAAAATATCAGCTGTTAACTGATAAAGCAAAAATAGGCATAACTGGGATTAGCTGGTTGTACAACATGTAACTTGCTAGCAGCCAGCCGCCTGCAGAAGTTCTGAATGAGAAGGCAGCTTCTCCCCCTCCTGAAAGCTGGGTGTCTTTCTGCCTTTGTCAAGGACATGGAAATGGGCTCAGCAGAAGTGTGACTGGATGAGATTGGCTGTCGTGTGTTAGGCAGGGATTCAGACTTCAAATAATCTAATAGCTGGCTTTCTGGCCTTGAAATGACAGAAGAAAATGGGAGCCTCAGAAGTGGGCTGCCTCTGAAAATTAAGCTTTTTTCAGGTATGTACGAAAGGCTCGAGTGCCTGGTGTTGGAACACTCGCCTTTGACTTTTGGCAAGACAGATAAGGATTCCTCATTTCTGTGCAGAGTGATATTTTTATTTTAGTACAAACCGTTTATTGAATGGGAGGGAAGCAGGGACAAGCAAAGTCCTAAGAGAAAAATATATGCCTCTTTTCCCCTCTACTGAGAAACGTGTGTTTTATCTCTCTATCTCTATACGAGCGCCTGAACTCTTCTAAAACTCAACGAAAACAAAAAATAAACAAGAAGGATCTCCATACTTGAGAATTTACAGGGAAAGGGGGAAAAGGAAGCTCAGCTTCATGGGATCGCCTTCATTGTCTGGAGAGTTTCTACAGAAAATCGTAGCAGATTTTCAAACGGTTGCAAATTACCCTGAAGCAGTTTTTCTCTCCCAGCTGTGTGTTGACAGTGGCTGCTGGAAAAGAAAAACACCCCTTGTTTTAAGACAAGCACAGCTAAAACTGGAAGCATGACTAAGATTTCTTTTCAAAATACGGGGAGATGAAATGTGGACACAGAGAAACCTCAGCGTCTTTGTTCAGGCATCGCGCCGCTTTCATTCTGAAAATCATATAACACGATTATGACAGCGTGCCACAGCCAAAGCGCAGCATCTCCTTCCTTTCATGTAAGAGTAAGGATGAATATGTCAATTAGGACCAGAAAAAACGGTTTTGGAGCTGAATATCTGTTTCATGCCCAGGCTGCAATAGCTGAAGAGCTGTCTGACTGAGAGGTTTCTGCAAAACAACTTTTGTCATAGCTCTTCCCAAACAGAAATAAAAGCTTTTCTTTGCCATGGTCACGTAATTCTTTAGACAGCCTGAGGATTTCTGGGAAGTTATCTAAATGGCTCCATGTATTTCTTACTGGTTGAACTTAAAATTCACAAATTGGAGGAGGCTTCAAATTCTCCCAGAATTTTCTTCAGCATCAGGCCTGAGAAGCCAGATCCAAAACTCACTTCTGTCAACACCTGCAATTAATTGGTATTAATTTCAAGTTTAGAGAGAGCTTTGTGCTCTCTTGGATTTTTGCAAGAGGGATTGTAACAGATCAAGCAGAAAAGATGTAAAAGGAACAAAAGGAGAGAATCAACCAGAATGGGTTGGCATTCCAATAGTGCTGTCCAAAAAGGGCAAATCTGGGCTCTTACATTGCCACCAATGCAGAGAGCTATGCTAAAGTCAATGGAAAGATGTGCTTCTCTTCCAGAGAACAGAGGTTCTCCCAGTATTTGTATGCACAAGTTAGGGGGCGACCTTAAGACACAAGACTGTATATGTCACTCACTTGTTGGATAAATCTCCCCTAAACAGTGTGAAAAATGGAGGAACTAATCTTTAAACTAATATGTGCAGGAAATGAAAAACAGAACTGTCAGTCAAAGTGCCGACAGTGGGCGAAGGGTTCCACAGTGTTGAAACAAGAGCTTATATCAATACTTGGTGCTTCATCGGCCATCTATTTCAACACTTTGAACCTAGATAATTAAGGATTATATCCATCCAGGCTGTGCAAACCCACAAATACACCATTTCAGGAGCAATAAGATTAGCGAAGTCTATGAGAAAAAAAACGTAATAGGCTAAGAACAAACAGAGCTGGCTCTTACAGTAGCAGATGAGTCTCTGTGAGATACCACATGTGATGGATAGCAAGTCTGTGTTTGACTTACGGTGCTTGCAGTCGTGACCAGTCCAGCCAGGGGGACACATGCACTCCCCAGTGATGTGGTGACAAAAAGCATCACTGCTGCAGCTGCATGGCAGCAGGCAGTTTTGTCCATAGTATCCAACAGGGCAGGCTGAAAGCAGAGGAGCAAACTGCAAGTTCGCCTAGATAATAATTCAGGCACAGATCTTTTCAAACAAGACAGCAACAGCTTGTCCCCTAAAACATGCACTAGCTGGATCCAGGAAGCAAAATGGTGAAATGAAGGAAGCATCTGCAATTTGTGTACTGAGTGGCTAGGGCTGAATCCTGTAAGCGGGACAGTTTTGCCTTTTGGATACTTCTGCCCATCAGTATCAGCCAGAGGAAAAATCTCCAAAGCACTGGGTGATTTTGTGATGAACAAGGAGAAAACACATGCCAGCATGGAAGCCTTGCATGAAGCACTCTGTCCTGAATGTCTGTCTGTCCTGGCAGCCTCAACACACTCAGCTGAGGAAGGAGCCGTGCTCCAGCAGCATAGACTGGGGGCTGGAGGGTATTCTCATGGTCTGTGATGGGTCTACACAGACAGTGCTGATATCACTCTTTGTCCTCACACTTTAATACAGAATTAGTGCAATAAATTTGCACTGCTGCCTATATAACCCATGGGGCCAGTTTCTCAGCACCTCTCACCAAGCAATCAGAACTACAATGCAAGTATTATGGCTATTTAATACTGCCTTTCTAACTAAATATGGCTTTAATTATAACATCAATTTGGGATGCAGTTTAGCCTTTCTTTGGCGTTTATCTGTTACCTGCCTCTGTCTGCAAAACATAGTCAAACTCGACCTGGGAAACATCTCAGGCTGCAGAGTGCTTTATTTTGGGTCAGTGTCCCTAATGCCACAAAAATCTTACAGAACAGAAAGAAGGCAAAATCCACACCAGAAGCTGAATTTTCACCCAGGCATTATGTTATCTCTGTGGACTGAAAGCGCTTTCAAGGGAAACCCTCTGAAAGAGCCAACAGAACCCTACAGTGCAGCATGCAGGAATACATCTAAAGGCAGACACAAAGGCTCTCTTCCAGCTTGCCTTGCATGTCTGTTTTTTGGTTTGGTTTTTGATCCAGTAACACTGTGAGCATATGGGTATATATGAAAAATGAATTTCCACACTCAGCCAAGGAAAATCTAGACTGAAGCTCAGGAGAAGAGGGCTGCATTTGTATTTCTGCTGGGCTGGATGCAGAAGGTGCTTTGAAGAGCTGCATTTCTAGCTGGTATAATTGGCATCCTGTTTTTCATACCCAGATTCACCTCCCATGCAAAAAGCAGAGGGGAAACCCCTGACCCCTTGGCACTGCAATGTCCTGGAGAATTTATTCACTCCTTTATCAGTTTTCCAGAGTAATGCATTCCTTTTTGTTTCCTTCATTGATTTCAAGTCCTATTCTGATTGGACCGACTGACCTCCAGATGTATCTTCTAGCCTGAACCATTCACCAACTCTCTGCAAGAGCTCCAAGGGCACACTTTGTGCACCCAGGCCAGCATACAAATCACTGTTTTTAATGGAGTTGGGAGGACACGATAGGATAACTGCACAATGCTCCCTTTCTATGAGCAATCCCACTGAGTGGATGTCATAAGTCCTCCACCAAGACTCACCCTTTACCTGTACTTCAAAGCAAAGCACATTGGGTTGCAGCAGTTTTGATAGACAATGCCATAATCCAGCTCTTCACCCTCTCTGCGAAAGCAAAGCACTCCCTACCCTAACCCCGCATGGAACGTACCTCTCTCACACATGGCACCAGTTTTCCCAGCTGGGCAAATACAACGCCCAGTCTCTGGGTCGCAGGGTGCTCCCCCGCAGCTGCAGCTCTGCCTGCAGTCCACCCCAAACCTCCCGGGCTGGCAAGCTGTCAGAGGAAACCCAAACAGCCGATTAATACAGCAAAGCATTTGAAAGATAACAGCATTCACCCTCTATAGCAATTTTAAACAGAGCTGTGCTGGCACAGAGTGATCTACATCAGCGTCATTGTCTTATTCTAACAACAACTGTACTTTTTTATCTGCAGCTTCTGCATCTGAACATAAGGTACATAGTAAGCTTTCCCACCTAGTGTGTACCTCCCAGGGAAACTTGCAGTGAGTACCTACAGGAATGGCATTTTTCTCCATGGAAACCAGGCGGGCATGGACGCTTGCAGGCTCCCGTCTCGTGGTCACACAAAACGTTGGTGGAACAGTTGCACCTCAGTTTGCAACCAGCCCCATAAAAGCCTGGTGTGCATGCTGGAAAATGAAAGTAAAGGCACGGCGTGTGTGAGGAAATGGAAGAGATAAAGAAATTTAACAGAAGTCAGAACAATAATTAGCAGAACTTGACAGAAAAATCTACTGTAACATGTATTTCAGAGGTGTTGATAATGAAGTGGAAGCAACAATTAAACACACGCACACTCACTGCTAAGAAGTCGTTGCTTAAATGCAACCCAGAAACAGAATGAGAGTACTTGAGGCTATATTAGACTACGAGGATATGAAATATCATCACTCCCATTCTTCACCAAACTCCCAGACGCAGTGCCATGAATCTAATGTGTTACTGTGTGCCCAGGGAGGAACTGTGAGGGAGAATATTGCTTTACTCCAGCTCTGCCTACAGAGACATACAAACAGGAATGCAGAACACAATTCTCTCTGAACTATGCCCAAAACTACACAGAATAACCTGAATTCAAAGACCTGGAAAGCTGAAGGAAAACCAGCATTACAAACCATTTACAAATGAGCCTCCTTGTGTAAAACACAGTTTTTGCCACATGCTGTCTGCATGAAAAAAAAAAAGAGCAAAAGTGAAAACTCCCACAATCTTCATTATTTAGAGTTGTAATAGAGTTTGGTTTCTAGATTGCTGAAAAACAGCACTGTTGCACTGCATTCCCAGTGGTGTCCCTGCAGGCTCTGTGATATCGGGCACTCACAGAGGCTGCAATATGAAAAATCAGAGACAAAATAATTAGTGGAATATGAATTTACCATTAGCAGCAGCACAGTAAAGCTCACGGGAGGAGGAAGGAGGCATGCAGAGAGGACAAAGGAATAAAAAGACAGGGGGAACATCCCTTCCTGCTGTACCTTTCTGGCATTTCTTGCCATGATATCCAGGCTTGCAGCTGCAGGTCCCGTTCTGTGCACTGCACCCCAGCGTGTGCTCCTTCACACACTGACACTCCTGTGAGCAGCCCACACCGAAAGCCCACCTGGGACAGGCTGCAGGCAGGTTAAAGGGAATCATTAGGTCTGTAATTAGGCATGAGTTATCTGAAATCACACCCTTGTGCAGGATGCAATGACTGCGAAAAGTGTCTACTTTCCTATGGCAGTGCCTATTAGTATGTGGGTGTGTAAAATGCAGTTCATAGGATTCCTATATAAAGTAATTAACTCCATTCCAAGCAATATGTGGCAAATGCAAGAATCAGAAATGTTTTGACACAAACTTAGTTAAGTTTTGGAATGAAAAATATTTGGATATAGCCCAGAACAAAAGTTTCATGACAAAAGAAAAAAAATCAAGCAACTATTTTCTATCTTGCATGGATTTTCCAAACAAAAACTGTAAGTGAAAACCAACTGGACTGCCTGTTTTATGACGCTTTTGTGTTTTGATCCATTTTATTCCCACTTAACATTTGGTTGCATTCACGGCTGTGCTTTTGTGCTATGAGCATTCTCACTTCAGGACAAATTCTGGATGTCACAGCTGGGAAATCCACGCAGGGAAGGAGACACAAATTTAGGGAAAGCTAAAGTTTGTGCTTATGACTTTTGATTGACCAGAGGGTGAGCAATGAAATTATCAGACTTGAACCTTATCTACAACCCTAACTTTAACATGCCCAACCCAAATCACCCTATAGCCCTCACTTTTACACATTAACAAACCTCAGCTCTTACAGTAAGGATTAATTGCTGCAGAAGGCGGCAAATGGAGTTTCTGGGGCCTCACAGAGTATCTGAGAAGTCTTCCATCTTCTGTTCCTCTCTAATTGCAGAGCTCATGGACTACGAACATCCCCAGTGTGAGCTCTCCTATTAACACCACCCAGCAAGCCCTATCCCAAAGTCTTGCTCATTTTGGACACATGTGGAATCTTTGTAAGTCTGCTATGCTGTGCACACATTACATAAACTGATCAGGAAGGCTGCTGGGACTTACTGAGGTGGCAGAAGCGTCCGTACAGCCCAGGGTCACACAAGCAGGCTCCATACAGCCGGTGGCAGTGGCCGCTGTTGGCACAGTTGCATGGCTTGTTGCAGTTCTTCCCAAAAAATCCCTTGGGACAGCCTTTGGAGTGAATAAATGCAGGCAATGCATCAGTTGTTAAGGATTTAAATGAACACCAGGTCAGCTCTCTTTTAAAGGGTGCTACAGAAAATACCATGTTGATGGCCTCAGGCTGAGCCTCTGCACAGGCCACTGGAGCAAAGCCCTTGCTTTCCCTCATCCATTTTCTTGCCTTTATTTAAACAAACATCACTCGAGGCACTCCACAGGGCTGCACTGTGTCCCACAAAATGGAAACTACTCTCACGTGGCCAAGATGTACCACACGCCATATGACAGACAGGGAGAAACGAAGGGAGATGGCAAAGCCTCAGGCTCACGCTACACCTGGCGGGATGAGGGAGCTCATACCATCTTCACAAAATGGCCCCTGGACTCCTGGTGGGCAGCGACACAGCCCTGTGATGGGGTCACAGGAGCCTCCGTTCTGGCACTTGCAGGTACTGGCACAACCGTCACCGTACGTGCCCTGGGAGCAGGCTGCAGGGAGAGCAGAAAGAGTGAATGGGCCCTGACATCCTGCCCCTGTGCTCCAAAATGAGAAGGCAGGCATCAGAACTGGGAAGAAAATAATCCCTGTAGTCAAGCAGTCTCTGAGCAATGTCATAGTCTTTCTATATAGGGCAAAAACATTCCCCTAATGTTTACTAGATGGTTCTAAAGCGATGTCTGAAACTACCAAATTAACTCAAGTGAAGAGTACCCATTGTGTGGTACCCATACTCTCCCCTGTGCATGCTTCACACAATTCATGGGCTCAGAACAACTGCCTAGGAAGTACCAAGCTTGAAAACACAGCACAGTTTTATACAGTTGGAAATGCATGTTTTGAACACCTCCCATCCACCAATAACCATTACGAAAATGCTGTGTTTTTAATTATACATTCTCCAAAATTCCACAGCTGCCCATAATACAGAAGTGGGTCCACAACAGCATGGCACTCCTTCTTATTGCTCTGATTACTCCGGTACAAAAAATAAAAAAAATAAAAAAAATTAGTGGTGAAATAGAGCACTGCTCCTGTTTGCACCTTCAGCCAGTTGAGTAACTGCAGTTGCTGGAGTCATTTGACTTAACTGACATTTTATCAATGTACATTAAGAAACTTGACATTTCACATCCATTTTCATTTGGTTTCTATGGTGTATTATTATAGAAATACAGTTCCAGATTTCTCAGCTCCTTAGCTTACCCTAAGCCCATGAACTACTCCATTCTTTTTTTTTCATTTGAGAAAGAAAGAAAAAAGAATGAAAGCCACCACATTTGGTTACTTCATACAGATTAGATGTCGTATTTATTCTTGTCAGTGCTTGCTTCGTTGAACTACAGGTATGGCTTAACACAGTTCCATTAGTCTGCATTCTCTAAATGCCAAAGTTAAATTCCAAAACATTACATGCATGGATATCTAGTGTAAATATAGAGCAAAAATGTTATTATTATTTTCAAGTGAACTGAAGAATTTCCTGTCCTGAAATTTTTGTAATCTCTCTAGAACCTCTACAGCACCATGAATGTCAGTAAAATCATCCTAACATAGTAGCCTGAGTAGTTGTAGGTAGAAATCATCATTTCAATTCTCTTCATTCCTATTCCTTCAGCTCCCCTTGGTGTTTACAAACCAAATCTGGATTGGTCTCCAGAAGTAACTAAGGGCAGACTGATGATTTCAATCATTTGCAATCATTTCTGTCTCTGTGATGATGCCTTCTAAACAAACAAGATGGTGATTAACCTGAGGACCACTGCCTATTGATGCAAAGTAATGTTGTCTTTCCAGTTGGTTCGCATGCATACTTCTGAAACAGAAAGATCTTCTACCAAGAATAAGAAGAAAACTCTGAAACATACAATGTGCAATGCTAAAAATTAACCAGTGCCAGAAAACTATGTTAATAATAAAAAGGATGATTAAAATAAACAAACAGCTCAGTGTTACCAATACAATTAAAAAAAAAAAAGGCAATGTCTTGAGATTCTATAATGGAAAACCCAAGTTTAGCACATTTGCCCACCCAGACAGTCACACCACCTGCCAGGACAGCCCTCTGAAACTCAGCTGGGTGAGCTGGGGAGCGGAGCATTGCAAGCACACTGCAGCACCTGGCACCTCTTGCAGCAAAGTGAATAGGAATGGTCCCAAAGTGAGCATTTCGTATGGGGCGCTGCACTGCATGGGATGGCAGAGACCTCGCTGTCTGAAGGTTTGTGTCATTTGTTGTAGCATCCACACAATTTACACCTAACGTGTCATACTGTAATAAAATGTTGATCTGGAAGTGAAAAAGCTGCGCTCCTTGAAGAGCTTCTTGGATTAAAAGTACAGCAGTTTATTCCTGTTTCCTCCCTATCTTCAGTGCCACAGCTCCAGGACAAAGTCGCTGCCTTTCAAACGAGTTCAATGCACTGTACTCACTTTCGTTGCAGGTAATGCCGGTCCACCCAGGTGAGCAAACACAGCCACTGCTCTCACTGTTACATCTGCCTCCATTCATACAATCCTCACAGCTCAAGCTGCAGTCATTGCCAAAAGTATTATCAAGGCAAACTGAAAGGAAAAAAATGCAGAAGGCTCAGTGAGCATCAGACAAAACACTTCTGGAGGCTCTTAGCTGTCCTTCCAGATGCACAAGTACAAAAGGGAACGTGCATGACATTGCCAATCAGAAAAAAAAGCCTATTCAAGTCATTAGCGTTCATGCTGGAAGCACTGCAAATATCACCAAGCTGTGCCAAAATGTACTCCCAAGTGGACATTCCCAAATTTTCTGCTTCAAATTTTAATCTGAATAAAAGGAAAACTGGGTCTGCAGCTGGAATTCATGCCCTTAAATACTGTGATTCCCCATCAAAGGGCATTTAAAAGTACTTTTTAAGAGCAAATAGCTTTCAGAAAAATTGAAATTGTGCTAATGCTAAAAAGAATTGTGTACAACAAAAAATATTTACTGGGAGAGAACCTTTTCTCCTTGTGAGGCTCACCTTGTTCTGTGATTTTAGTAGGTGCATTCTGTGCTGTAAAGCACAGACAAGCAATATTTTTAACAGCATAGTTTGAGTTATTCTAGGAAGACAAAAGATAATACACATTTATCACTTCTTTGTTTCCTCTTGGTTCTAGCAAGGGTAATTCCAGGCAGAAAAACTAAGAAATACAAAAATGCATTTGTGCCTCCCCATCCTGCCCTCCTTCTCTGCCCAGTTATGAACACACACAGGCACACACTCTTCTTTGTGGGCTCTGTTGACAAAGGAAGAGAAAAATAAGGGTTCCTCTTAGCTAAAATGCATTGGTGACAAGAAGATCTTATCCATGTGGTCAGACTATTGCTTTGCAGGCTTTACAAATGTGGCTGGAGCCTTTTTAGAAGGGGATTTTAGAAAACATCTGAGAGCAAGCTGGCAGATTACTTCAGCTTGCAGCAAGTCAGCAGACTGGTTGCTTTTCGCCAGCAATTTTATGAGTGGGGCCAGATTTCCATAAAGTCTCAGCACCCGACTGTTCCTCCTTCTAAAGCTGAGCAAACGCCCAGGTTTGCAGAGGCATTGAGAATCTCAGTGCTCCCACTCGGAACAAGCTGAAAATGCATACTTCAGAAGAAGAATACAAATTACCACTATGAACTTCACGCTTCTACATTAGAAAGTCATTTAGTTTATAGAAAATCATTAATTATTTGCTCCATTTAATCATTTAAAGCATATTTTTTTTAATAATATAGATTCCAGCACAAAAATACAGGGATATTTGAGAAGTAAAACAACTTACTGAGCCATGAGTTTCTTTCCTTCCCCACCTTTTCCTACAAACCATCACACGCTGTAAATCCTCAGCTTTAAAAAAAGAGCAGGTGCTCACTATGACTAAAAATCCCCATGCTTGTGTGGCTAAACATAGATAAAACATACAAAACTTGTTAATAAATATTTGGTTGAGGTTTGTCCATGGTTATCTCATTTACCAGTTTCCCAAATGATTATCAGCATTGTTGAGTATACCTGGATGCTACGTGATCTCGGAGGCCTAAATGGTTGTGTTGATCATAGCTGAGACCGGTTCCTGATTCATTGCCTGAAGGGCACAGCCCTCAGATGAGTAATTAGAGCTAATACCAAAATCATAGGGCATATGTAACAAGCATGAGTGAGCCATAAGCACTCATCAAAAGGTTGAGAGTTGGGTTTGAGCCCTTCCTTGGTGCAGTTTCCATTTCCTGGGGAGAAACTGATGCTGTGTAGAGTGCAGAGGGTGCAAAGTTTGAAGCAGCACAGGACATGGTGTTCTGCACCCACTCCTATGGCTATGTGCGTGGGCTCTGCTGCCTCATCTCTATGTAGTTACCTCCCTGAGAACGTGCCCCAGCCACCACCAAAGCATCTGAACCTCCAGAGGGAAGTCACGTGCGTCTTTTTAATTCACAAATAAGAACATGCACTCACCAGCTCTGTGCACCAGCGTCAGCTCCCCTCGCTGATCCTCATCCTCACGCAGGGCCCCGAGCACGTAGTGCAGGAGCTGGGGGGCACCTCTGAACTGCAGCCCCGGAGCGCCTGCGAAGCCCGACACTGCTGAGTCCCCTCCTAACACTGACACACAATGCATACAAGGTTAGGATGGCATCCCCAGACTTTCTCCCCAGCACCCATCTTGCATTTGTGCTTTGGTGCTCGGTGACTTCCCAGCTATGCTTTGGTACATCGTGTTGCAGCCGATTCGTTTTCTGGTTTATGGATATGAACCGTTTTTGATGCCCAAGGTAAGAGACAAGGAGAAACAAAAATACTTCTCTTTTTTCTGTAATTGAACCTTGGGCCTCAGATGAGACCATCCCTGTTACTGTGCCATTTTTTAAATGGGAGTTTAATTTTCCCCACCTGAAGTTCATGATTGCTGATAGTGAGTGAAGGTCATTACTCTCACTCATCTGGGAGATGACAAAGACAGAGCAAGTCTGGCTGCCCATTTCCAAAAACTACAGCTGAAGCCTTACCGTGATAGGAAATCAGCTGGCTTTCTTTCAGTTGGTTAAATCAAAACTTGCCTAAAATTTAGTGGCTGCTAATATAGGCTATAAAATTAGGTTGCTGATCTGGTTGCTTTGGCAGAAATCCAGAATCATGCCACTGACTCCATCACAGCAGAACCTGGACACCTCAGAGATGCCGTGGACACATCTGAGAGCTCTCAAGTTGGGCTCCCAAAATCCCAGGACCTGTGAAGATCCCAGTTCTGAGTTCACAGTTGAGAAATACTGACCAACCCTTCAGGATGCAACGGGAACTCACCGATGCAGGAGCGCCGGTCAGTGCCCAGCTGGAACCCTTCCTTGCAGGCACATTCATATGACCCCAGGGAATTAATGCAGACGTGGTCGCAGTTGCCATTCTCAAGACGACATTCATCCACATCTAATAAACAGGCATCAAGGCTGGTTAGTGCCTCTGTTGGGAAAGTGCTCTCTGTACAGGGCCAGAGCTATTCTGAACATAAGGAAACCAAATTTTCTTAGTACTTTGGGGCTATTGAAGGTATTAAAACATTTCAGCTCAGCATGGAAGAGATCATTCCACCTATGTTTTTGCCTCAAGTGAAAACAGCTGCTTTAAGCTGTTAAGCTCTGTTGATCCTTTGGCTATTCTGAGGGCTCTCCTTTTGCAGAAGTAGTCTTTAAAACACATCCACATACAGCATGCACAGAGAGGGGGAAAGGTCCCTGATTCATCTCCCATGGCCCATCTGTCCTTGCTGGATGTTGGCTTACTGTATTCCAAAATTACAAAGTGGAAATTTCATTTTTAAACCACGCTGAGCTGGGCGGGATCAGTGCAGGGCACTCACCATCGCAGCCACAGCCGTCAGCACTGGGCTGGAAGCCTGCTCTACAGCTGCACTCGTAGCTGCCCACGTAGTTGATGCAGAACTGGGAGCAGCACGACTCGCCGGTCTCGCATTCATCCAGGTCTGCAAGGATGGGGCAGCTCAGTCAGCCCTGGGCTGAACTCTCACCCCAGCATCAGAATGCAATGCACACACATAGCAAGCAGCTATTGCAAGGCAGTTTGCTTTTAACAGAGCTCTAGCCTAACAGCTTAGCTGCTGGGGGGCCAGCCTGCAAAGTGCAAATGTAGTCTCTTGAGAACTGACAGCTTTCTGCTGTACATAGATGTGGTACATATCTATAACTGGTAACCTGGGCACAGATGCACCTGTGGTTAGATCTTAGAATGATAGAATCACAGCATGGTTAGGTTGGGAGTGACCTTAAAGCCCACTCAGCTCCACCCCTGCCATGGGCTGGCTGCCACCACCAGCTCAGGCTGCCCAGGCTTTGGGCACCTCCAGGGATGGGGCATCCACAGCTCTGGGCAGCAGTGCCAGGGCCTCACTGCCCTCTGCATTAAGAATCTCCTCCTAAATATCTGAACTAAATCTCCCTCTTTCAGTTTAAAACCATTCCCCCCTGTCCTGTCACTATCAGACTACTTAAAATGCTGATCTCCTTCCCATTTATTAGCTCCCTTTAAGTACTAGAAGGCAGTTACGAGGTATCCCTGGAGCCTTCCCTTCTCCAGGCTGAATAAGCCCAGCTCCCTCAATCTTGCTTCTGAAGAGAGAAGCTCCACCCCTGTAAGCATCTCTGTGGCCCTTTTGTGGACCTGCTCCAAAACCTCTTTGTCATTGTCATCAATGTCATTCTCACACTGGCATCCCCAGGCCTGAATGCACTACTGCTGCTGGCATCTCATGAGGGCAGAACCCTCTCCCTGCTGCCAAACCTCTGCTGATGCAGCCCAGGACGCATTGGCCTTAAGGGCTGCAAGTGCACACCACCAGCTCAAAGATTCAAGAATCGAGCTGCTATCTTCTGACTGCAGGCTCCTGGCAGATCTCCCCCTCCCAGCCTGCTGCCCTGCTCAGTGGCCATTGAAGGCCATCTTGTCAATGCTGAGTTTGCAAAACATTTCTGAACGTTACCCAGGCGAAGAGCCGCAGATGGGAAAGGTCTGTGTCTCAATTAACCTTGGAGAGAGCACCAACGTTATTAGGAAGAACGGGCAGGAGAAAGAGGAGAAGGAAAATGTAATTAATCAGTCAAGGTGAAGAGGTCAGCACAAGAATTATTAATGTAGGTTATTTGGACATGGAGTGTTTTCCAGAAATGTCACAAGCTGAGCTTCTCTGCACTTTGTCAGATGACACCTCGCTCTGGGGTCTATTAGCAGCCCATTGTCTGTGCAGGAATGCAAAATGTGCCTCCAAAAGAAGGAAATTTTTGCTGTTAAGAGCAGCTTTGCACTCCCTTGGCCTTGCCAAGCCCCTGACCTCTGCTCTCCCTCCCTGGCTGTGGCCAGCAGGGCAGTTCTCACATTGACATCTCCATTAGCAAGTCACTGCCTCCTCCTCAGCACAGGAATGTGGCTGAAGGAACCTTCTCAGCCCAACTCATTGGCTCAGGATCCATGTCTGCCTTTCTCTCTCCTTCCTTTTTATTCTCATTTTTTGTGCCCCAGCACCAGCCACCCTTACAGAGCTGTGCTTTCCTCCTCCTTGCCCATCCATCCTCCTTGCTCTTTTCTCCTTTGAGGACCTTTGTCCATGCTGTCCCCAGAGCTCCCACTCCTTGCCTCTCTCTTTCCATCTAACTGTTCTTTTCCACAATGCCTGCTCCTTTTTTTCCTCTCTCTTCTTGTCTATTCCTTAAAATTTTAATGGCATAGTGATAATAGAACAAGATAGCATAGCAAAAGCTGTAAAGAAAAACAATCCTGTCACAAAAACATATAAAACATGAAGGAATTTTTAAGCTCTTTTTGAAGCAAAAACAACTGTAATTCTATGGCTTCCACTTCCTAAGTGACACTTCACACAGCTCACCACTAAGCACGGAAACAGAATAACTTCCACAGCACAAAGCAGAGTCTGCACGTGCAGCACTGCTGAAAAGCAGCTAACTTAATGCAGCTGTAACCTAATGCAGTCGTAATGCTCCCATCCCAAACTGGCTAGAGAGGGGAGGAAAACAAAACAAAGCCTCAGCAATGTGCTGCTTGGGCTGCATGCAGACATGGTCTTGACAGCATGAATTGTACCCTGGGTTACCTGTGCATGCCTTGCCATCTGAGCTGAGCACGTAGCCATCGTGGCAGGAGCAGCGTGGCCCTGTTGCCGTGTGCTCGCAGCCGTGGGAGCACCCACCGTTGTCCTTCTGGCAGCTGTCCACTATCTCCATTTCAATGCCTTGTGGAGAAACAAATAAAAGGGATGGTAAAAATGAGCACAAGTGGAGAGGCACTGGAGAATGAGTGCTGCATATGAAAGCACCCATGAACAAGCAAAATGCTGGCAAGGAAGAGAAAGCCAGCTCACACCTACATGCAGAAACAGCACAGCCCTGAGACACTGAACTATGTGGATAGGCAGCACACTCTGCCCTTGTCCCAGAGGAATGGAAGCATTTGAATAGACCAAGTGAGTCAGCTCTACCAAGCGTGCCTGTGCTTTCCAAAAAGCTGCTTTTAGTTGATTTCCAAGCACAAATTCTGTATGTTTTCATCACAGAGTTCCACTACTGAGCCCAATATCTAGCCAACAACCTACAGGCTTTGACCCTTCAATGGGGAGACAACACGATGCTGACACCAGTCCCCTTCACCCTGACAGATCTCCCCACTCTCCCACACTTGTCTGGGCACAGACATTTTGGTCAGGTTCAGTGGAAACCTTCCTATAGGAAGAGGAACATCTATCCATCTCTTTCCTATCCAGCTACTTCATGAAATGATTTCTTTAGGAAGAAGCTCGATTACAAAGCCTAATTCTCTTCAATTAACCCTATTGCTGCCTTAGAGGGCAATCTAGAGAGGAATTTTCCATGCTGTGCAGGGGGGCTGAGAAACAAAGCCCCTAAAGGAGCCATTGTACAGCCAGAAATGTTGCTCAGAGCAGCATGTGGCAGAGCTGGCACAGATGGATGGCATTTCCCCTCTTTTGCACCTCATAGATACATCTCCATTGGTGGCACTGATCCTACTCCATTTTTCCTTTCAGCTTACCTGGAAGAGGACATCAATTTGAGGAAGACATATGGAAGGCTACATCTAATCCACTGTGTGATTGTTTGCATCAGGGAAAAGAAATCTAGGTTGCTGTCCAGTATGCTAAGTTGGGATTTACAAACCCAGCCTTTATGCATTATCTTTGCCATTTACTTTGTCTTAGTTGTTCATTAGTAAAACACAGATTTCCCTATGCTGCTGGGGAAATGAGAGAATAAACAAAGACTGTGAATTGCTCAAACACTGTGATAATTCTGATCACAAAAATATGCAGAATGTTTGTGTTGATATTGCTTGCTCCATAGCTTTGTGCATAAGGCACAGAGAATCCCCATTTACAGAGACCTGCTGAACACTGAGGTAAAAATATGATATATTATACATTATTATATTGCTTTCCATGTACATTGATAGTTTCAAAGCGATTTTCATCCTTATTAAATATTTCTTACACACAGATTCTTGAAGTACACATTCACTCTCTGGCACACCACGTATTTTCCTAAAGAAATCCTGCTGAAAGTTCCTGCACTGTAATATTGGACTGAATGACCACTGTCCAGCTCTGCTAAAACAAGTCATGCTTTTGTCTGCATTTCAGTGAGCTTATGTTATGTCCATAATAACACCAACTCTCCCACACCATCTCTTTTATTAACCTAATCTTACCCTTAAGGACAGTGCAGGGATCGCCTCCCAACAAGCCAATCCCCCGCTCAAGGACAGCACTGCAGCTTAGGAAACCCTGCTGTGCGCATAGGGAAATAAACAGGGCTCACTTACTTTAGCTTGGGAAATTTTAGCTGTTCCAATGTATTTTTTTTCATTCTAAATCTTGTTTTGTTTCCCCTTTTTAAGCATCTACTTAACAGTGTCAGTAATCTCTGCAGAAACATGAGTAAACCTATGCAGATGAAGACAGGAGCAGAATGTCATGTCGGTTTTCTTCCGCATCAGACTAGGCATGTAAGAAAATGGGGAGAGGGAGGGCAGAAATGAATACATTTCACAGAACAGTAATATTTTGGTGTTGCTGGAATAGAATTCACCAGGCTCTGAAGATAAACCAACAGGGAGATTTGCTCTTTGAAATGCAGTAATTAAGGTCGGTGAACAGAGGCTTAAGAAGGTATCAACCTGCAAAAATGGCAATAGCAGAAGATGAAGAAAATAATATTAAGCTTGAGTTTTTGCATATACTTATTTTGCTGGGAGTGTTAATCCAACTGAATTAAAAATGAAGCATAGCAGTTGGCAGATAAGGCAACCTGAAAGGCAGAGCTGTAAAGCTGTCACTTACGGTAGCACTGCTTCCCATCAGCCCCCAGCTCGAAGCCGGGATTACAGGCACAGGTGAAGGATCCCAGCGTGTTCACACAGCCATGAGCACACCTGGCTCTCCCTTCTGCACACTCGTCAATGTCTAGGAAGCAGAGAGAAAGGCAATGACACTAACAAAAATATCACCTTATGATCACGTGGCTGCGTTTCCAAACGTCCAGTGGAAAGAGCATCTTGATGTGGATCTACAAATGACAGCATCTGACGGATCCAGGAACACTGAACTCACAGCATTATTCTCCAAAATAATAGTTTTTTTCTACTCAGTGCTGATCTTGAGCCCCTCAGCACGAATTTTTACATTAGACATCATATTTACTGTATCAGCCAACGTATGAGGGTTGCCCTGAAAGTAATGCCTCCTATTTTATTATGTTGGCTCATGATGTCAGAAGCAGATGGTGATGGTATGTTCCACTCAGAGTATGGCACTCACTGACATTCATCGATGTTTGTTGAACATTTATGGGGCCAAATGGTGAATGGGAGCAAACTGAGGCAGTGGACGTTGTGTTTCAGCAGTGGCAACATGATCCAGATGGCCATGCACAGCTGTCACACCGTGCAACGAGAAGCATCTCAATCAGCTCATCATGGTGCTGACTATGTCGAAAAAAGGCGCTTTGTAGCTGAGAATTTGCTCTATTAAACAGTGTAATTGTGCTCTTTGTATCTGCTGTAGTTTCCGTGGTAACAAATAGAAGGCATTACTTTTGGAGCAACCAACATAATTTCTCTGTATTTCCTCTAACAAGAGCAATGGTAACAGAAGCCATGTGAAGAACGCAGACAAAAGTCCTAACTCCTTCCACCCTAAAATTAGCAGTAGGTCCTCACAGCCATTACGTTCAAAGTAGTGGAACAAGAAATATTTGATTATTTCCTGAGTGTTAAATGATTTGGATTAAATGGCAGCAAGTACAATGGAGACAGATCCTCTCTGTCACATCCACAAATCCTGAAGTTCCTTCTGCAGAGAGGAATCCCCTCTCCTCAGAGGAGAAAATAGAAAAGCCAAGGAGCTGTATGCAGGGAATTACATGCCACTAAAGGCATGTCTTCCTAAAGTCTCAGTGGAAGGGAAGGGAACTTTATTTGTACTAGATAGTGCTGCCATGTAGCACAGCTGCACACCCGCAGCCTGCATGCAGACACAGCACACGCCTACCCACCTCCTGCTCCTGCTTTGGTTCTGACACTGCACTTGCAAAATGCAGATTATACCCTGCAACGATCCAGGGACAGAGCACCTCATGTCCAGGAGCTGCTGCCAGGCATGCAGCTCCTTGCTCCAGAAAACAGCTTTCTAACAGCTCCACTCCATATGTGCTGTAATCAGACCCGTGCTCACAGACTCCTGCACTTGAACACAAGAAGCTTTACGAATGCAATCAGCCTACTTGCAGAAAGAGACCCCAGGCAATGCAAACACCATACACTGACCCATGGAGATTGCAGGATGAATGACAGCTGCTCTGAAGTGGCCATGTGTGTAGCTGCTGTTTAGAATAAAATGGATTATTTCTCCTTATTTTGTCATAAAATGTCAATTTGCAAGTAGAAAAATGTTGGCAGTTGCTGGAAAAGTTCTTTTCTCTTATTGTGCTTTTCAAAAAAGAAAGCAAAAACTAGAGAGCCATCCCACAGCCACCATGGTGTACTCATTTCTTCATATCTGGTAAACACAGCTAATAGCTAAAGCATGACACCTCCCTGCCCTGATTTCCTTCTAACTCATTTTACAGAGTCAGATACCAGCGTGAATTTGGCAAAAAACATGGAATAGTTTCTAAGAGAAACATATATATATGTATATTCATGTTAGGAAATGATGCCTAATAACTCATGACTGTTGCCATGAGGTCAGAAAGAAAATTTATTCCAGTATGTAACATTGCTAGTTATCTAGTGCTTCATTTTATACATAAATTAACAGAACTGTCAACGTTTATTCAAGATAAAATGAGGAATATGTTGACCCCAGTATCAAACTCACTGCTGTTTCACTAATTAATCGTCACCATAGAGGCTACACTACTTGAAACTACTTTTTGGTGTTGAAAATGCTTTTTCAGTAACCTTACACATACGAGTCATCCCAACAGGACTGGGATCATCAAGGTGCGCTGTGCTCCCTAAGGAAGGGTTTACAGGCAGCTGAGTAAAATACTTTGTATGCAACCAGCATCCTGTACAGAGACCCATAGAAATAACACAACGAGTCCAGCATTGGTGCAATCTTGGCCAAGTGTTCAAAAAGAGGAGTTTAAAATTAATGTGTCTGAATGCGTGCCCTGATCCTGACAAGGCTGTTAGAAACCTGCACATCATGAAGTCCACGGGTGCTCTGTGCTTCATTAAACTGACAAATTCTTGCTTCCGAGCACCATATTGAAGAGAAAAGCAGCAATTCTGGTTACTAATTTCCACACATTTCAGGTCATAAATGCTTCAGATCCCTTTGAAAATCCCAGCCTAAATGCAGGACTTTGGAATTCAACTTTTTAAGCTCCTCTCTTTGGAAAAAGTAGACTTTGTGATTTCTTTCTTCACAGTACTTTCTTTATGAATATGGAAACAGTTCTCCAGCTAAAAAGCCCTTTGAATTCTAAATAGGTTTTCGGTGACCTGGTTCAAAGTGTTACCTGAACCAATTTCTCAGGAGCTGTATCTGGGGCATTATTTTAAAGGGACACTACAGGAATAACACTACAGCACTGCGAAATCCCACTGCCAGAAACAATGATTGACGAGATCACGGAATAATTGCCATCATGAAGGCGCCCCTCCATGACTACTGGCTGATGCAAATATCACAAAGAGAAATGCTGCTTCAATAAAACACGTACATGTTTTTCCAAAATATTTCTTTTACACAGAATCACAGAATGGCCAGGGTCAGAAGGGACCTCTAGGACCACGAATCTCCAACCCTCCTGCTGCATGCAGGGCCACCAACCTCCCCATCTGATACCAGACCAGGCTGCCCAGGGCTCCATCCAACCAACACCTCTAGGGATGGGACATCCGCAGCCTCTCTGGGCAGCAGCTGTTCCAGCACCTCACCACTCTCTTTCTAAAGAACTTAATTAAATAGAACTTTTTAATTCAAAGCCCAATAAGCCAGAACACCAAACAATACTTTCCTTCTAATAGAGTCCACAGTTTCTTACCTAAGCAGGACTTCTTGTCTGTAGAAAGATAATGCCCTGGGTGACACTCGCATTTGGCAGTTCCTCTCTCATTTTGACAGATGTGTGAGCATCCTCCATTCCCACTTGTGCAGGGGTCTATCACTGAAACCAATTAGAGCACACTGTCAGCTTAAAGGTCACTCCTGTGCCTGAAAACAGTCTTACCTGCCATCGCTGCAACCACAGCTGAGATTACGATACTGTGAAGGACTGGACTGAGAAAACATCTGACACAAGTTGAGGTATGGTTAAATCTGTTGTTTTTCTGTCTGCTATTTTCTCTGATCCTGGACAGCATTTTCCATAGATCAGCAGCACTATAAAATGAGGGAAATTGTGTCTGTATTACTCTCCGTAAGCAGGACAGGAGAGTAGCTTTTATCCCTATTTCACCATAACTGAGTAGATTTCAAGAGTTGCTCTAAACAATAGCAATTAGTACACCAGTGTTTTAACCCATAAGCACACTTAACATGAAGTTTGCCAAAGAATAATGTATATGTAGATGTCTCCAAAGAAAACACTTGCTGAAGAGCACCAGAAGACCTCCTTTAATCTAACAACACGTGGCATTAATGTTATACATCAACGTTTTTCACTCTTATTCAGCAATAACACGCAGTTTCAAGGATAAGCAGTTCTAAGTGATGAGTACTTAAAAATACATTTATAAAGTGCCTGCAGAAGTCTCCACCTCAAAAACTTCACTGTGGTTAATGTGTTTATTTCTGAAGTGCATGGCTGCTGGAAGCAAACTGATGTGTTTGCACAAAGACTTTGTCCATACACAAACTGGCCTACTGGGACTGCTTGGACAGGATGATTTGGGTTAAGAGCCAGAGTCTTCATACTAAAATCTGATATTTTGCACAGAGCTGGTGTTCCAGTTGGAGTTCAGTTACATTGACACGCTGGTAAATAACAGCATGCAGGCAAATTTGTGGGATGTTTTTGAAAAATGAGTCTTTCAGCATTCTAAACCATTTAAAACTCAAGGCTATTTCCTTACAATTCATGCTGTAACATAGTTTTAGCTTCTTACTAATTACTGACTGATTTGAAACACTGGACCAATACTCCACACTTGCCTCCAGCCTGACTTCTCCTTCACTTCTCCTTCATCTCAAGTTCTACTCAGAGTAACTTCTAGAGGGGAACTGGGAAAGAAAGCCAGCATCAGTTGAAGGTGTTTTCTTCCAGACTTTGCTCCATTGGCTACCCACACACATATATGTTTAGCTATGAAGAAGGTGCTGGGAGAACAAGACCTTTATTTTGTAGTGGTGGTGCATTAAATATGGTGGTGCATTTTTTTTTCCCCACATCCTCCAAGTTTTGCTTTTTTAACCTATGTAGCCAGTGGTATTTTATGTCACTGTTGGCAACAGAGGACACTGCCCCAGAACACCTTCAAATTTCCTCATTTCACCTCCTGACATCCCAAGAACACAGCCACTCGAGTGTGCAGGCTGAGAATTTGACAAGATAGCATAAAATAATATCACAGTTAAGGATTTAGAACTGAATTTTTCTGTTGGACTTTCAGCACGATAGGTTGCAAATAGGTTTTCAAGGGACAGCAGCACTTCATCTTATGTGACACTTTCAAGGCTGACAGCTTGGCTCTGCAGTTAAACAGTTGCCTGTCTATAAAGGATTTAGCTGCAAGCAAGAACTCTTTCTCTGACTGATACGAAATATTATTTGTTGATTCTTTTTTATTATTATTATTTGGATAAATTAAGTGAAATCACTATCACACAGCATCTGTTAAACCTACATATTATAAAGGTTTTCAGAGCATCTAAAGCTTTAATTTGAGAATGATTACAGCAGAGAGCAAGACTTGTAATAATCTGTGACATGACTACAAGCAAACAACAAATTATAGGGTACACGGTAGTAAAATGTAGTAATTTGAATAAAAAATAGCAGCCTTGGAAGTCCCTAGACAAGATAAAAATTCGTAAAGGAAAGAGATTTTCAGAACATAAAGCAACTACAGATTGACTTGTTTTACTTGCTTTTGTTTCATTCTGACATATCTGTTTCTTGCTGTCATGGGCAGGTTTCAGGAAAAGCTAGAAACATCTCATTAGTGTTCTTTCTTCTAAGCATTTGTCTCATATTGTCTGACTTGTTAACATTACTGGGTTACAGACTACATCCTATGAAACTCTATTCCAAGCTGTTAAATGCCGTGTTCAAAAAGCAAAGACCAAGAAAACCCCAAACAATCCCAGAACGGATCTGTTCCCAGGCTGTCCTGAGACACAGAATTGTATCATAGAATCATTGAATGGCCTGGGTTGCAAAGGACCACAATGATCATCTAGTTTCAACTCCCCTGCTACATGCAGGGTCACCAACCAGCAGACCAGGCTGCCCAGAGCCACATCCAGCCTGGCCTTGAATGCCTGCAGGGATGGGGGCATCCACAGCCTCCTTGGGCAACCTGAAAAAGCCACACCAAGTCACTGATTTGAGGCAGCAACAATGCTCTTGGGAAAGCATGTGTTGTATTGTGCTGGGAACCCTTCCAGACCTTCACTGCAGGCTGCAAAGGACAAGGTCTAGTTCTACAATCCTACTGGTTGTGCACTCTAGAACAGCAAAAGAAAGAGAATTGGGTCTTGTCACAGTTTGCTTGCTCATGGCAACTGTGACCTTACACAGGAGAAAATCCTCATCACTCCTGGATAGCCCAGTGTAGAACTTACTCTAGCAGAGAACTCATACAGCCCTGCGCCTTTACAGAAGTACCAGTGTTACCACAGATCCCATCCACACACACGTGGTGCTTCAACCTCATCACTCTGATTCTTCACAACTCCATCCCATTGCCCTGCCTCTGTGGGGAAGGCTTCACCCTGCTGCCTCTCAGGATCCTGGCTGCAGCATCAGCCCTGGGATGACAGCCCTAAATGCCAACCCAATGCACTCACAGCCACTTTATTCTCATTTGTTCTGCAAAAGCCTTGTCCATCAGCTTAACTAGCACTTTTCTCCCCTGAGTTTTTACTCTTTAAGGCATTCATGGGAGAAAAGCATCCCACTCAGCCTTCATTTTGCCAGCTAAGCTCCTCTTGCAAGACAAATCTTCCTTCCTCTGCCCACAGCTGCTCTCTTGGAAAGGCTATGCTTCTCCATTTCAATTTCCATCACCTTGCATGCAGTTTAACAACAGGCTCCAGCTCAGATCTGACCCACAGACACAGCCATTGCTCAGGAATTCCGGTGGTGAAGCTCACGCAAGCCAGACCCTGAGGCCAAGAGCTCTGCATGCCACGGGAGCTGACGGCAGGATTTACTCACACTTTGTACACAGCGTAGAAAAGCCCTAAGGAGAAGCAGAGCCATATGGAAACAGTTTTGTGATGGGAATTTTAGCACAATAAATCCATGAGTTTGGACCCATATTTCACTGGCACATCCAAGGGTGCCATGTGTGTGAGATTGTCGTGGTGCGGAGGGAGGTTTGATTTAAAAAACGATGGATTTGCTAAAAAAATAAAAGGCAACAATCAAACTCAAAGGTAGCATTACTATTCTGCTTGCAAGTGCTCTGTAGCCTGAAGGGGAGGAATGAATCAGGCTGTGATTAGGAGCGAGATAAGCCAAAATCAGATAAAGAAAAGACATCATGTAGTAGAAAATTGAGAGGCCAACTCTATACACAACTTGATGAGTAATGAATGTTGGGATTAAAACGTGACCGTGTTCCTCACTTATGCCATTGCTGCCAGAGTGAAACGAGTGGCCAGGAGTCCATGAGGGCAAAAGCTCTGTGACTGTGAAAGAAGGCAAACTTCACACCTCAGCTACATTAATCTTTTTACCATCGATTATACGAAATGGGATGAATGCACACGGTCCTGTGCTTCCTACATCCTCACCAAGCTTTCACTGCAGCACCTATCCCAGCCCCTGTGTCACTCCATTGGCACGCACAGGGCTGCCTGGCATTGCAATGTTGGCCAAAGGCAGTGAATAGAGGAAGAAATGATTGAAGTGCAGCCACTCTTTGATCTGATGGCAGCAAAGGGCCCAAGGGTCTGTCAGGGGAAGGAGGGGGAAACAGAACAGCCCCCCTGGCATTGCCCATTTCAGGCTCTGAAGGACCGTAGCACAGACACATGGAATAAACAACAGGGACTGAGGTGGACTTGAGCATCTCTGAAGATACCTCTCCTTTCACCCAGGCAAATTAATATTCTTTCTGTTCAGCATAGACCCCCCAGCCTCTGGAGAAACATTTCTCTTCCTGCCAAAACACGTTAGCACACACCCACACCTATCCACACACTGCATATAAAAATAAGATCGGTTCTCTGAACCCGTTACTGTGCTGCACACACGTACGTGTGAGCGTGTGCAGGGCTGCATCTATCCATACTAACAGCAGGGATGTGTTATGCTCTCCATCAGTGGCTGGAAAGGCTATTTTGTCCTCCATGGAAGGCACCAAACTCTGGATCCACTGATGCCAGCAAAGAGCTCTGACATTTCTGTTACTAATATTAGTATAAATTCAGTTATCTCTTGTAGATATTCAGAAAGTGTTAGCTACAAAAGCAGCTGTAGGAGGTATTTCACCCTATGCTATCCATTAGCAGACAATTAGTTTCTGTATGGCAGAAAAGCCAAGCTTTGACCTATAATATACATTTCTCAACATGTTATTGCCTAAAATAATGCTAAAAAAATGTATGAAACCCTGAGCATGGAACCCTTGCTGGAAGATTGATAGTAACGATGGAGTCAGAGCATGCAGCCTCCTTCTGCCTATGTTTTTCACCAACTCAGATTATGACAAGAACGTAACCAGACATACTGTACTTCTACTTGTGTGGTAAAACAAAGGTTATAGATTTGTAGAGATACCTTCTTCGTTACTTCCCCTATTAAGAGTCACAGTGTTTGAAAGCCTCCACAAAACTGCATCCCAACAGCTTTCCTACACAAGGCAGACATCAAAGATAACAGCTGGCACCAGAGATGAATTGGGCTCCAAAGCCTGTGTTCTGCTTTCTCTTTTTGGAGTTCAAACAAGAATAAATTCCAGTGAAAACAATGAATTCACATCAATCCAAAAGCACAGCCCAGTGCTGCCATAAGTATGTTTTCTGTTTGAATCTCTGCTTCCCAGACACCAGCTGGTTAAACTTTAATGAAGTTAAATTTGTGACATTAGCATAGTCAAGGCACTGACAACCAAACAGAAGAAATGGACTCTGTTACCTTTGGTTATTTTAATTGCCTAATTGGTAGTGAATGCTCAGCCTGGCACATATAACCAAAAATGAATTCAGTACTGAGCAAAATTTTGTGGGACAAAATGCTAATGGAGAAAAGGAGCGTTGTAAAAGATGTGGCATACTGTGGCATAACACAAAGTATCAGAGATCATCAAAATATTCAACAAGAAAGAATTTTGCTCTTGGATGCTGTTTACTTCTGAGGATAGTAACCCACTTCAGAAGTTATCTGCCTTGGAGAATAAGCATAAGTTTCTCATGAGAAAAGGAGAAATGACAAACGGATTTCTTCAGATCTCTTTGAGGGTCATGCTGGTGGTGCCCCAGGGACAGATGGTTCCCAAACACACCACGATGATGCAGTAGGAGGACTGGACTTGCTGCAAAGAACTTGAGTAGTCTCCCATGCAACCTCACAATAAAGTAGCCTTTACCAGGTTTCCAAGTCCTCAAATGTGGGCTGAATATCTTAGAAGAGAGATCCCCTTTCCTATGTATGGGAGAATTCCAAGACATTGAGGTATCAAAATCTGCTTCCCTGAAGTCATTTTGGCACACTGCTCCCTGAAACGTAGGATTTCCAAAAATGGAAAGAATGAGCAAAATAGAAATCTGAGCTGGGTGCATCTGAAATCCTGTCTAAAGGGATCCTTGTTTCTAATTTCTGTAGCAGAGATAATAACCTCCAATAAACAGCTCGTTTCCAGAACGCAGACCCTTTTTATTCTTTGTATGATTGAGAGGCTGTTACATCCTCTAATGTATTCTTCGAACAGATACTCTTGCTATTATGAGCCCTGCTGCAAATGTTAGATGCTCTGCTCAGCTGCACTAGGTTGAAGGAGACGTGCACTGCTCCATTTACCTCTTGATCAGATGAGTGCTCAAAACGTAGAAACTGGAGCAGCAGGCCGTGCCAGCCCCATCTCCACCTGCACCTGGGCAGCATGAGCTGTTCATGCCCAAATCCCTGGGCTATAAAATGGTTTTATATGAAATGCTTCTCCCTGTCCTCGTCAGCTAGCATCTGTCTTGTGCTCCAGCACATGAGAGTTTATTATATCCGTTTATTTTCGTTTCCTGTCTAAATAGCTGAAATGGAACTCAATATTCCCTGCTCGGTATTGTGTACATCCATTACCATGATAGCAACTCTCTGTAACTTCCTTCTGTCTCTCCTCTCAGGATTTATTTCTGTTTCTCTTTGATAATTTCTGAGATATTGAGTTGAACGTTGTGTTAAGTATTTTTAATAACTGCTTTTCAATGCTTACATTCCCAAAATGAAAACTCACTTTCTGTTAATGTTCATAGCTAGGAAAACATAAAACTGAGCTTTACGATCGGTGCCAAGAGCAAACAGCTACAGATTGCCCACAGAAGGCTATGGGTGTTATAAAGGTAAACTCATTTAATCCCCTCAATCTCTACTTTTTGTATTTATCGTTCACTTCTCTATCACTTCTCCCCCTAAGCCACATTAGTCATTTTTAGTATGAAATTCCCTCTCTACCAGTGCTGAAAATTAGACAATTCAGAGAGAGGAAAGCAATTCAAACATCCCGTCTTTCACTTCTGTGTCAGACCTGCTCATATCCGATCAGAGAGAGATGGATTTCTCTCTTCTCTTGTAATTCATACACTTCTGCTTCTATGTAAATATGAGACATCTTGCTTTTGCCTTAAATTAATTTATTTCTCACACCCTTGTGCTTCCTCACGCACTCTCTACCCAACTGAGAGAGCAAAGAAAAGATTCCGGCTTGGCCATATTTTTAATTCTAGTTCATTACCAAAATGCTGAAAGTCTTTGTATGCAGTAAACCCAACAAATCTAAAATGCTAAGTTCCTTAAATTAAGAAAAAAAATGTTATTACTGCAGCCTGAACACGAGTTCATTTTGTGTTCTGGCTGCATCAGTAAATTTATTGCTGTGATAATACAAGAAATAATGAATGACATATTTGGTTGAATTTAAGCACAACCAAGGGAATTCACTGCAGTACAGAAACAATGACAAAACTGTGAGTGAATTGATTCTGCAGATGTGGTCTGACTACACTTGACTGTTCTTCTCAAATTACCTGAAATCAGGCTTCAAAATTCAAACAAATTACGTTCACTTCTTCTGCTGAAGTGACAGAATATTTTCATTATTTTTGCAGAACTTGACAACCTGACTTTTATGCTATTTTAAATGCCATACAATAAAAGTATGTATATACATACGAGGATTTTCTAAGCAAGATGCAGAATTAACTCTGCCTCTCTCACTTCAGGGCCCGGAGTCCAATGTAAGAAGCAAAACATTTATTGCTAATGGCAGAACTGCTTATCTTCTCAACAAACACAGAAATGACCACTGTTCTACATCACTAGGACCATATAATCCCTCTTCTTACTGTTTTCTACTCCTTGATGCTTGGAATGGGATTCTTCCGATCAAGAGGAGAGATCTTCAGTATGATATAAAGTGAACAAATTGGTTTGTTTTGCAACTTCTTTGGTTGTTGACTTTCATTTCTTGTCTTTTGTGCCATAGAGAATTACAGCATGGGTTTTGCTCACTGAGCAAAGGAAGAGGAATTCAGTATGACTTGTAACAGAGCTACTAAAACACGACTGCAGCAGATTAAGACATATTTCTGACAAACAGGAATGATGTAAACCTTTAAGACAGATTTAAATTCAGGAATGGATGAAAGGAGACAGAACTACTGATGGAACAAGGAGCTATCACAAATCCATAGCACCCACATTATCAACCTGCAGCAAGAGCAGAACATCCAAACTCTCATCTTCATTCATATTCATGAGAACCTCCCTTGTGAGCTAAAAAGATTAGCACAAGAAAACATTCCTGTGATATGCCTTGGAAAAGAGTTTCCAGCCCACCCCATGCATACTTCTCATTTTGCCTAATGATTAAAATTAAAAGCAGACAAATTTGTGTTACTGCCTTACCTAAAAAATATTAAAAAATTAAATGTACAGCAGAGACTGAAGTGGCAATCAGAAAGGTTTCTTTTTAAGCAGTTCCTGAAAACAGAAAAGACCTCCGTGTGCAAACTTGACACTACTTCAGATTTTTGTTAGCTTTTTATCACTCCCTTTCCAGCTACCAGCCCATAGCACCACATTCCTAAAAGTATCTTCATTATTCACAAGTTCAGCCTCTGCTCTGGGTCCTCCACTCACTGGAAAACACTGTCAGAGATTCTCCTTTATTGTCATAGTTCTCAGCAGAGCTGATGGTTTCCCTCTGCTCATGGAACCACCTGGGAAACCCACAGGACCCGCAGCCCGTTCAGTCTAATGGAGATCTCACTTACTGTGGGCCAACTTAAAGCCAACTTTAGGTTGACAACCCCAACCCTTTATTTTGCCTTTATCACCAAATACACAAGATCTATTCTGGGACTGATTGATCAGAACAACAGCACTGCAAGAGAGCTTTGCTATCTGCTGTTTGTGTTTCTTAAGGAAAAACAGGAAAAAAAGACCAAGAAAGAGTGGAAGAATTTGCAGCAGAAAAGCCCAAGTCTACAAAACCTTGCACTTTTATAAGAACATAGGAGAAAAACATATATCCATGCTTTGCAGCATGTACTCACTCAAGCACGTGCGCCCATCGGAGTGCAGCCTGTATCCTGTCTGACAGTGGCAGTGGAAGGAGCCGTGGGTGTTGATGCAGCCCTGCTGGCAGCCTCCATTCACCTCTGCACACTCATCCACATCTGTAGGAGAAAGAGAGATGGCTGAAATTACCAAACAGCAGAGACATAGTTCAGTTCTCCTGGAGAAGCATATAGCTTGGACATAATGCAACCACGACGCTCCAACTGTGATGCTGTTTTCTTTTTTTTTTTTTTTAATGGTTTATTTTGCAGCCACACTGTAAACAGAGCAAAGAAAATTGAAATTTTGATGGTGTTTTTCAAAGTGTTCACAGGCACCATCTCTGTGGTCTCTTCTTTTGAAGCGCTGGCTAATTAGAATGATCTGTGACACCAATGTTTCCTCAGGGACAAGAGAAGAGTTCAGGGAGATAAGACAGAATTTAAACATGTCTGGGTATGAAGGCATCACTGGTCAAACATTTGGCTACTGCAAAATTATGCTGAAAATAGATTTCTTTATGCATCAGGTCCTTAATCCTATAGAAGGTCTTGAGGATACAAGCACATACAACTGGCATGGCAAAGAGATGTGCAAGATCAGAGCTCGTGCTCCCAATCAATGAGAGCACAGGCACTACACAGAAGTGCTTTTTGTGCCACATTTTCTGTGACTCCTGTCCCTTGGGCTTTGGCCAAGGAGGTCAGCTGTGCTGGCTGTGCCATCTCCCATCTCCTTATGATTCCCAGCCCCTCACTGTCAGGGCAGCACAAGAAGCTGAAATGTCCTTGGATCTGTGCTCAGCAACAATTAAAATATTGCTGTGTTCCCAACAGTACTGTCTTCTGCAGCACTGTATCAGCTACTAGAAAGATAATTAACCCAACTGAAACCAGGACAATCAAATTGAGAAAGCTGCTGTAACACTTCATCTGAGAAGGAAGACAACGGTGGACAAAAAAGAGCAACAAAAGTTGAATTAAACACTTGAATGTTCAGCAATAATTCACAGGACTGAACTTACAAAAGTATCACACAAGCAGTTTCTGTATATTTTCTGCAACACCACACTACAATAAACAGCATTTGACTGGCATGTTGATACCATTACCTTAAAAACTGACACAGAAATCACTGGAAATAAGGGCCAGTTACCCATTCCCTGACCTGGCAGATCCTTATCTTGGGTCTGTCCTTTCCTCATAGCCCCCTGGGACAGCAGCTTCACATCCCTCCATCTCACCCATGGGCAATGCTGGAGCCAAGTCATGCTGACCGCTGAAGATTCCCTCTTGTTGCTAAACCCAAACTTCCCTAAATTCCCCTCTGCATTCTGTATCTGTATCCCCTATTGTGACTTTTTTTCTCTTAAAGATTCACACTGACTTAATATCCCTTTAGATCAACATTCTGAAACCACCTGAAAGGCTTCACTCGTCCAAACAGCTGTGAATGAGGAGAGTGGAATGGAAAGAAAGACAAGAGTGGCTACAAGGAGAGACCATCTCCTAATTGCTGCTGCAGGGAAGGGGATGGTAGCAGAGCCAGGAATGTGGAATAGAGTGGAGCATGGAAAGGAGAGCACAAGGAGGGGATCTTCCCCCCTGGTATTGCACTCAAGGAGCATAGAGGTCTGGCTTTCATATTTTTGCTGTCAATGTATCTGCTTTACATTTGGCTTTGATGGTTTACATTTGTTACGCTTTTATGTTTATTCCAGTCTAGAAAATCTAATCAAAATTAAATGAAAAAGGAAGTTTTAAAGATGATTTGGAAATGCACGACATCCTGGTCCTAAGGAAACATATTTATCAAGTTAAATTTTAATATTTCACATGTGAATTTCACTCACCTAAAATGAAGTCCTGGTGCTGAGTAGCGTTTAAATTCAGACCATTTGCTAATGTGTGCCACTTTTTAATCCTCCTGCTATATTTGTTCTTTTATTGGACTGTATACTATGTACATTTCCTACTGCCTGAAGACATCTGGAATACTTAAAAAAAACCAACAAACCAAAACAGAAGTTTCATTTTTTTTTAATGTAAACTGTAAACAGAAAATGTTATTCATCTTGTTGGATGTTATGCAGTTAAGAAATGCTCTGCTGAAAAATCCCAGGATGAAATCAAAACCAAGAAACTATTTGTCTTGAGTATCGAAGAAATAAAGTACACAAAAAAGGCTCAGAGAAATACAAGAAGGAAGAGGATGAGCTATATAGTTTCTCGCATCCCAGTATTTATACCTCCATTAACTCAGTTGCTACAAGCTTCAATGTATTACCTTTATAGGCTGCAGTCAGCTGCGGAGTTTCTCCATGCACCAAACACAGCTTTACATTAGGACATCAGTGCTTACAAAGGAGAAAAAATAGCCAAGGTAACCAAAACTAGCAATTACACTTAGGCCCACCTGTTAGACTCTCTTGGAGCATTTTGATGCCTGGGTTTCCAGCACAGCACCTGGACCTCTGCACTGGCCACAGCCCTTCTGCAAACCTCATCCCCAAATGTTCTAAAATGTCAGCATGCCCCCTGCATGGCCAGACCCTTTGCCCACCTCCTTCTTTTCCAACCACTCAAAAAGCCCCTCTGGGGCTTTCTGTGGGAGATCAGCATGGCGAGAATTAAACACTGAAAGATCTTTCCACGTGCTGAGGATATAATGAAGAAATACGCAACAAGCAGCAGCCTTTGGTGCCTCCTACATCTCAGGAAACAACTCTGCCCCCCAGTTACAGAAGAAAAACATCTTCATTATGTTTCCTAGGGAAGCAGGCTGAAAAGCAGAACTAATCTAAATGCTAGAGCTGAATTAAGAGTTTTACAGGTGTAAGCTATTGGCACTTTTATATTAAAATAGCGACACGTGTAAAGGACACACACCAGGGAAGCAACAGCTTACATTGCCAGAAGCATATGAGTGGTGTATGACAAGCAGCCATTTCTTTTTCTGCACAGAAATAACTGTGGAAATCTAAAATTATGAAGTCAGTCCACACAGGATTACAGGAGATTGCATCTGTTCAACTCTATTATATAATTAAATTTGGATTCATTTCTACCACAGATCAAACTAAAATACCTATGTGCTACACTGCCTACAGTTACAATTGAGGCTGCTTCTCCAAATAACCTGAATTTCAAGCCACTTTTTCTCTCTTATTTCTAGTTGCCCTGTGATGAAAGCAACTACACTTCCCCTGTTTACAAGGGTGGATAGTGACAGGACAAGGGGAATGGTTTCAAACTGAGACAGGGGAGGTCTAGGTTAGATATGAGGAGGAAGTTTTTCACACAGAGGGTGGTGAGGCACTGGAGCAGGTTGCCCAAGGAGGCTGTGGATGCCCCATCCCTGCAGACATTCGAGGCCAGGCTGGATGTGGCTTTGAGCAGCCTGGTCTGCTGGTTGGCGACCTACACACAGCAGGGGGTTGGAACTGGATGAGCATTGTGGTCATTTTCAACCCAGGCCATTCTATGAAGACAGAGGCAGAGCCATCCATTGAGATGAGTGGAGCAATAGATTGAGACTGAGAAGCAAAATGAGAAATCTGTGCCGTCCCAGCACTACCTTGAACATGGAATTATACTGATGGGTGAAAAAAGCAGAGTCAGTGTGTGAATACCCTACAGTTCACCTATGAGAGTTTTGGCAGAGATGCACATTAGTGAAATCTCCCTTTGAGAGTCTCTGCTGGCAGTCCACAGCCTACTGGGGATGCACAGAGATGATGCCCCGACTTCCCCACTTATCAATGGGAATGGTCTTATGGTCAAACCAAAAGTCAGTGCTACCTGGTGCCAGGATGAAAACTGGCAGACCTCTGAGGTCCACACAGCATGGCTGCATGCTGCCCATTCCCACACCCAAGAGGATGGGGACGCACAACACCAGTTCCAAATGTGGGAGCAGATGCTGGGCACACAAACCCATAAAATGACACATCATCTTGCCCTTTCCAAGCCAGGTTTTACTGACGACATTAAAGATTTTAAGCCTCCACATTTCTAAATGGGGGCTCTGCTAATTTTCAGGGAAGTCTGCCCCCAGCTGCTTTGGCAACAGACTGATTTCCCTGCCAAATACCCATTTAAACACACTTTTAAATTGCATTACAAACAATTTAAAGCTGTGTGATTGCCTGTTTGGAATTCAAGGTCATCACATCAGTGGCTTTTGTACACAGCCTGCAGGATTGTTTTTGTATTGCTACTTAAAATCTTTAGGAACAGCAATGATCAATCAGTTCCTTAAAAATAAACAGAGAGCAGTGCCAGACACAGATAATTAGTGGACCTCCAATTTTGTTTTTATAAAGAAGAAAAAAAAACAACAACAAGGTGTTTCCAGATCAATTTCCTGCTAACAAACAGCTTCGCTTTTTACACTAAGAAACATAACATGCACAACTAAAGACAGCCCAAAGAAAGAGAAGAAAATGAGTTCTGACAGCAGAAGGACCAAGCACTGCAGGATTCTCTCCATTCCCCTGACCCTCCTGCTCCTACCAGCTGCACATTACAGTGGGTTTCCATTTGCAGTGCCCTAGGCTGAACATGGGTTGGGGTCAGGCAGCACCTTTTGCTATCCCAGGTCCTCTTTGCTTTTAAATCCTTTTTTTCCCCAAGGGAGCTGTTTGGAAATCTCTACAGCCACTACTCCCACAACCAGTGCATCCCCACTCTCACAGTGGTACATTCACATCCCTCTTTCTCTGCTATAGTGACACACATGGAGTTGAGCTGTGGTGCAGGGATAGGATGGCCACTATGTCAGATCTCACAGTGCTTGCAGAAATACTGAAAATTCCTCCCACTGAGGGAAACCACCATACCTCAAAGGCTTCCACAACTGCACCCTTGTTCCCAGATGCCCAAGAGACACTGCATGCAGTTGGAATGAATGACACGTGCACATCACCATTTTCCATTCACCACAACCCACCAGAAGGGATGTAACCAAGGGAAACACAAAATCCTGCTTCCATCTACTTGGAGAACGTCTTATGTCAGTAGTTTTAAATTTATAAAGTCAGACTCTAATTAGAAACAATTACAGTAATTGTTTATAGATTTGATCTTTGCAGCATCATCTTAGAGTTTAGTAAAGTAGG